TTTTTTCTTGAACTTCGGCACTCATGTTAATTTTTTTCGCTTTGGAGGCGTTAATTTTTGTAGATTCATTCTCAGATTTCCGCTTCCTGAGGGAAAGGGTGGAAGTTTTTCGGTTTCACAGGTGTTTTATGCAATTTTTAGTGTATTCCTTCATTTTACGCATACTTGCAGGTGTTTGCTGAAAACGCTGAAGCAGCAGCAGCTGCTCGCTCGCAGTTAGAGTACGCCGTGGAGTCGTTCGATGTGCCCCGTGGTATGGTCGGAAAAGTTATTGGCAAATCGGGCAAGACCATCCAGGTATTTCTGAATATTTAGCCTCTTTCATCTAACGTGGTTGTTTTGGAGTGGTATTTCGAAAGGAGTTTTGACGATTCACATGTTTTAGGGGATATTCGAATTTATAAATTTTCAAATCACAGGAAGCTTTGTAGCATTTCTGAGCTTCATATTTCAGGACATCGTGGATAAGTCGGGTGTTGTGCGTGTGCAAATTGAAGGCGGTGACGCGCAGAGTCGCGTTGACGAAAACGTTGGCTTTTTATCAGCTTTTTTTTCCTTCTTCAAAGCTCATTTACGGATTAAAGGGTGGATATGGGCCTCATATCTTTCTAAAACTATCCTTATATCTTCTCATGTAATCCTCTTTATCCTCAGATTATCCTCTAAGATTAAGAAAAAGCAGTTGTTCGCTTTCGAAGATTTTGTGGGAATTATTTGATCTTTGTGAAATAATGCTTAGTGTATGGCTTTGCCTCTGTGAGTTTATCATTAAGACATTTGTAGAACTGGGACATTTTTTCTTGCAGCTGTAGGCAAATCTTCGACTTATTTCGAAGAATAGGCATTTCTAATTATCCGGATAAAGGCATACATCCATTTTTCGTGTTAAGAAAGGGAGGAGGAGGGGGAAATTGTTCAGATTGGTCAGACATTTTTTGTCTTTTTTGTGAATAGGCAGAAGATCGTGGTACCCGAGGAGGGCGCATGAGACGGAGCATCTGGTTCAGTTGGTGGTTTTTTTCAGGCTGACGAGCCAGTGCCGTTTGTGTTCACCGGTACAAAAGACGCAATTTCGATGGCAAATTTACTGATTGAATACCATCTGCGCCATCTGAAAGAAATGGAGGAGATGCGTCTGAGTGTGGATGAGATGCAACGGCAACTCTATTCGAGGTCGACACCACCTCCTCCTGGCGGAATAAATGGCAATGGGTAAATTAAGCATTTAAAATGCTGGTTTGAGAAACAAGGCCTCTGGCCTATGTGCATGCTAGCAGCGAATAAAGGGGAAGAACGGGAAGGGGGGAGGGGGCAGGAGAGGGCGGGGAGCAAAGATTCATGTCCTCTTTTCATCTTTGAGAATGCACATTGGAAGTTCGAGCGGTTTTTTTTAGTTTCAGGTGCTCTTGATTTTTCTAAAAGAGTCAGAAATATCAGGTTTTGAGATCATAAATTTCGGTTTTTTTCCCACTTTTCGTAATGCATGCATTTGTTTTTGCTCTGACTTGTTTTTGATTTGTGCTGTTGGATCTGAGGTATAAATTTGTACAAAAGTATGGGATTTACTTTCAGCTA